CACACACAGTAGAAAAATAAACTACTACTTACTTCTTTTACTACTATACTTACTTAGCTGTTTTTCACTTATTGCGGGGCTTCAAGGTATGAATCATCGCGTTAAACGAGGGACCACTTACCGTAAAACTTTTTTTTGAAAAACCCTCATGCCTTACCTTGCATCATAAGACTTTAAACAAATAAGAAAAATACCTCACAGCACACACTTTAATTTATAATTTGTACTGTAAAAGGTGTATTTAAATAAATAAAAATAACAATAAAAATAGAGAAATAAATAAATGCAACGTTTTCAATACCCCAAAATTATTGTAACTCGTAAAATTATCCTTAGAATTATCGAATACTTACGTCATGCCTAATTAACATGCAATTATTTAAATAAATAAATAGAATCACTTGCAACAATATCTATAGAAAAGCCCATTATGTTTTGGAAATATAAGAATTCTAATGTAGGAGAAACTGATATCTGAGCATCCAAAAGGTTGATTGTGGATCGAAAGATGCTCTTAAATAAATAAGGATCGAAAACCAACGAGAATCACAGCAAGTGAAGGGCCCCACGCCCGTGCTTTGCCTTGGGCATATTTCCTCTAAATAAAGTTGCACTTAAAATACGTTGTTGTGTGGATTATTAGCTCCTTCCTGATGAGGTCAGACTCAATTTGTTACTTACACATGAAGAAGACCAACATTTCAGATTGTTACGTCGTCTGATCTGACAGTGTCCCTTGTTGTTAAAAATGCCGTCATTATCATCCAGTAATTTGCCATGAATGTTTCACATCACAGGTTAAGTGTAACAAATGCAGACATTTGCATACAAATAGCTTTAACATGATATCATTATTAATCTTTGAAACAAGTTTTTTCCCCACAGAAACTTTACATCCCTCCCGTCTTGGATCCTGGAGGCACTGGTGGAAATCATTAATGACAACTCCTAATGGTTTCAGGGTGAAAATTCAGGAGGTTAATACGACTGCTTAGCACGGAGAGCTATTCAGAGCAGAGACGCCATCAAATCAATCAAAAAAAGGATTGTGAAAGATAATGAGATCAATGACATGCATAGAAGCATTTGGAAAGGAATATATTATCTTTCAACGGGCGCAGTATTAACTATTCCGCTCAGTTATCTTGTATATGCCAAGATAGCTCCACAGAGATGCAGAGTTAGACATATTGAACCAATTTACATTAAATAATGGTCTTCACTGTGGCATAAAACATCTAAATCTACGTGAAAAATATTTTGGAAATCTTTTTGTTTCATGGAAAAGTAAAATCTCAAGACATTTTTAAGAAAACACATTATAATGGGGGCCACTGAGGCTTCTTGCACAACACCAGAATAAATATATATATATATATTATTTTATCTTACAAGACAAATAAACCAACTTGCTCTTATTATCTGGAGGTTTGATTGGGTTTAGGAGTTTGTTAGTCGACACATTTTCTCATTACATTTTAAACACCAACTCTCAGAATAGACCACTTACAACAAATATAATAACTCTGTCCAGACAAGCAGCAGAAATTCATATGAACCATTATAAGAGGAATCATTGTTCTTTTAAATTTAGTTTTTATTCAAAAAGAAGCATCTTCAATAAATATTTCCATTTTCCAGACTTCTGACTTTTATTTTGAAGAACACACAAACACACGGGCGCTGAATGTCAACAAAACGTAAAACTTTTCAAAGGTAAATAATTTCTAATAAAGCTGATATACTCTCAGTATATTTGTTCCGTTAATTTGACACATTTCCCCATAGCTTATATCTGCAAAATCAAGATAAATTTAATTGCACAATAACCGACAGACTGATTTAAGTATTCCGCTGACATTTTGAGTCGACGTCATGTCGAGTGCTCATTTTAACCGTAAAGACAGCAGTTCATTTTCTTAGAAAATATTAAATAAATAGGCAATCTAGCTAATAAATATTTAAGCAATGTCATTATTGTATGTCTGGTGAGGCTAAATGGCACGGAGGCTTTGTAATAGTCATCTGTTAATGAATTTGTTGATGGATTTCTAACAGGCTGCCTGTTAAATAATTCATATTGCATGTTAAGGAAACAGTGTTTGTCTATATCTATTGTTAAATAAATTACACTTCTTTCCATAATAAGTCACATGTGAAATATTTATATAAGTATATTGTCAATGCTAAAGTGTACTTTATCATTTTGTCATCATTCACAGTCAACCCCAATATTGGTTGAGATTAAATCAATAGATAACTCAAAAAGCAAAACAAATAAACATGTTCTCTTTATATTCCAAGAGGTAGGCATTTTATGAACGTCAGTCATTTTCTAAACATTCAGTCCCACTTGAAGTCTTGTCCCACAGTTTCATAGAATTTTATGTTAAAAGGCCTATAAAATTCTTGCAGCTGCTCTATGACCTCCGGGTCAATTTGTACGTGAGTTCTGCCCTTGGATTTGCCGAGGCATCGCGGCTGACTGCTGCTCTCCGGCTTTTTTAGGCAGGGGAAACCTTTGGTTCGATTGAAGTAGAAGTGCTTGTCTGTGATTATTCGTTTGAGTCCTAGGAAGTCCTGAACACGGCCCATTTCGCCAGCCGGATCCGTTATCAGCCGCTCGCCGCTCACAAAATGCATTTGCGACAAGCGGAAGTACTGCAGCCAGTTCTCCAGGTGCAGAATATACATCCCGATTCGAATGGCGTTCCAAGAAGTGTCTACAAGACCCAAACTTCTGTTCTTAAAAGCAAGCTCCTCAAACGTTGGGATGTCAGGCTTCTTAGAAAGAGTCTGTGTGTAGTCTGAGATGGCTCTCGTGACGGGGTTTCTCACCACGACAATCAGCTTGGTTTCATGAGACATGCCGGAGATGCGGCGCGGCGCCTCCCTCGTCACGAAGTAGCTGGGCGTCTTCTCTAACGTGATCTGGCTGTCGAGCGTTCGCGGCATCAGCCCCCTTGTGAGGAGAGACAAAGAACAAAACACACACACACGAGTGAGCTGTTATTTTCCTGTTCAGCAACATTTCAGCATGTTTTTCTCTTTCGTGGTCATCTAACTCAGGAGGAAACTCGAACTGAGAGGTGAGTAACAGTGCCTGTCACAGGCACAAGAGAAGATCTTAAAAGATATTTCTGCAGAGATCTTGAGCTGGTAAGGCTGCAACATTACAGTGTAGAAACTGTTTCATGTAAAAATCAAGGAATGAAAATGTTACTTCAGTGAAAATGTGCCACTGATTGAAATTCCTACTCACATGACAAACAGTTTATTCAGTGTCTTTAAGATTAAGCACATGCCCAAAATGTCCATCATTTGTATTAAAGCATATTTAACCCTACTAATTAACTAATGCTTAGAATGGGAAATAATACACCCAAACTGTTGCCACATTTAGTCAAACAAGTTGATAAAAGATTGTTTTGGGCATACTACTTTACTAAAAAAACATTTTGGTTCCAAACCCTGGTCCCTGAGGAACACCACCCTGCATGCTTTAGCTATTTCCCTGTTTCATCACATTAGATTCAATGATTTAATTACTGCATCAAGTTTCTATCTAAGACTGTTAATCACCACATTCAAACCAGGTGTGTCAAAACAGGGAAACAGCTAAAACATGCAGGGTGGTGTTCCTCAGGGACCAGGGTTGGGAACCATTGCGTTTGTCAACTGCTTGGCTGTTTTAAGGTGCACTAGTTAACTAGAAAGGTCATAAATGCTTCAGCTAGTCAACAATTGAGCAGTTTAGTAATTATTAGTCAAATAGTTATACATTTAGGTTGCATTAGTTGAGTAGTGCAGCTT